ATAAAATTAAAAAAAAATAAAAATAAAAAATAAAAAAAATAAAGTGGTGGAAAAGACATGGGAACATGCTTAGGTGGGCATGAGGTGGGACAAAACTATGGCCAGCCAGTGAGATGACACGCACCCTTGCTCAGGTAAAATTGATTAAATCCAGGACCAAATGAGGAAGCAAGTCATGTAGCAAGCGGGCACGAATATGAGTCAGGGTCTCTTCCTGTTGGGGGCTGGGCTGTGACTCGCTTGGGCTCTTTCAAGGTGATACCTATTTAGAATATCAATCCCTGATGCCCATCCCTAGGAAAGTATGTAGCTGTGCTTTTTTCTTCTTTTGTCTTAAGGTGTGGCCCACGTTGGAGTATCTGTCTCTTCCAAGTTGCAAAGCCACCTTCTCTTCCATCTTGCCTCCTTGAGGGCCTGGCCCTGTCTGTCTGCCTGTAATATTTCTATGTAATTCAGCTAGCTGCCTACAATACTCTGACCACCGTATCTGGGCACCCTTGGCTGGACACAGAGGGACAGTTGCTGGGACTCTGTGTATAAGGTCCCTGGTGACCACTGTGACAGAGTGGGCTGCAGGTCAGGAAGGCCTTTCCCCAGAGGTCCTAAGAGATCATATTTTCCACCTGAAGCAACTTGGTCTCAGGATGGGGGGAGCATCTTCTAGGGTCAGAGCGCGAGGGCAAGTCTTACAGAAAGCAGGACTGCTGCGCAAGCAGTATCCAGTAGTAAAGATTCTTACAATAAATAAGCTGAGTGTGGTACGCTATGCTTTTAGCTCCAGCACTCTGGGAGGCTGAGGCAGGAGGATCTCTAATTCGAGGCCACTCTAGCCACATAGCCACGTGATGAGATCCTGTCTTGCAGTAATAAAAAAACAAGCTGGGTCTGTAGTGTTTGGCAAGGTCCCAGGTTCAGTGTCCCACACAGGAAAGGAATAAGGACACAACACTGCTCTTCTGCTGCCTAGGATCGAATCCAGGGCCTCCTTCTTGCACTCTATACCCCCTCCCCAGCCGAGCGCAGAGCACCATGGGAACTTTCCTTCAAGGAGGGGAAGCTCAGGCCTCTCCTGATTCAGGCTGGCTTCCTGGTGCCCTGGCCATGGACACTTCCCGTGCCCTGCTGTGTGCTCTGGGCAGAGGAAGTGATCAGGACAGCGGCTTGTCTGCACCCAGGAAAGCCCACACAGGCCTAATTGTGCTGACTTCCCAGAGAATCAGAGAGAAAAGGGCCCCAAAAGGGTGAGCTCCAACCAGTCAGCAGGATGGGGTGCTCCCCTAAGTATGACAAGGGAGGCAGGCGGAAGCCCTCAGCCGATGATGTCAGCTCCTGGCGCCCCTCTATCAAGGTGACCGAGGCATGTACTGCCTGCCACCCACCCCTCCCCCAGCACACTGTCCTGCAGAGCATCTGTCCTCTGAAGATGCGACCTTGTACAAGGTCACAGGTCTGTTTGCAGTAGCCAAAGATTAGAAAACCGGAGGGCTCCCTTGGCAGAGGCTGAATCAATAACAGTTGTAGCACCCAGGCACCAGGGTCACCCGCCCACTGACAGGCCTCACTGCTGAGGCCGGGTGGGAAGTGGCACCGGGGGCCTGAGGTGATCCCCAGCCTGCCCTTGGGGCCAGGATCAAAGACGGTCTCTAATCTGAGGAATGCAGCCTGCAATGTAAACCAAGTGCAGATGCAAATCATCGCTGTTAGAGATGGAATTAATATACCCTGCCTGGCCATCTGAGGGTCCCCAGCAAGGTCACATGCCGTCTGTCCTCTGTGCTCCCTGGCCCCAAGGGCACCAGGTTGCTTCTCTGAGGCCACCTCTTCCTCCTGGGTAACTCCAGCTGGCGGGAAGGATTTGGCTTTCCAGGAGCAGAGTGAATCGCCACTTTTGACTTTTTTGTTTTTTTGAGACAGGGTCTCTCTTTGCCACTCAGGCTGGCCTTGAGCTCACTTTGTAACCCAAGTTGGTCTGGAACTCACAGTGATCCTCCTGCCTCAGCCTCCCGAGTTTGGAGATTACAGGTATGCCCGACCATACCTGGCTTGTTTGTTTGAAGATAGGATCTTGGGGTCTGGAATGTTGGTTTGGGGACCCTGAGGCCTGGCTCCTGGGGTAGGGCTGGACCCAAAGCGCTGCTGGCTTCGCCTTGCCTTCAAGGCGGCCCGGCTCTGGCTGCAGCAGCAGTAGCCTACAGGAAGGCCTGCAGGCAGAAGCCTCCCCTAGCGGGAGGAGGAATGGAGGAGGGATCAGCCCAGCCTGGTAGGCCTGAACCCTGCCCTGCTTGCCTTGGGGAAACACTGAGCAAGAGTCCTGGCTACATCGAGCTCTGTCAGACCCAGGCAGCCCAGCACATCCCCACGATGACCACCACCTTGCAGAATCCCACCCACCTCACGGCGGGCAACCTTGTGCCGAACTCCAAGATGGAAGTTTCACCCGACACAGCCTCATCAGGGGTAAGAAATGAGCTGGTCACCCAGGACTCGGCCTCAGAAAGGGACTGTCCGTTGCTCCTCTGCATCTTGAGGGACAACTGCGGCTCCAGCACCTTGTTGTACGTGTCCCTCTGTACCTGTCTTGTGCAAGACCGACCTTCGGGAGGCCTTCCCCTGTGTCAGGCAGGGCTGGGGGCCGTGTGTGATTTCCTACAGCGTGTCGCCCTCCCTGCAGGTGAGTGGTAATCATCACCCCAGGAAGTCTCAATAAATTTCTATTACTTAAAAAGAAAAGTTGGGGGCCCATGAGATAGCTCAGTGGTCTAAACCACCTACTTAGGCAAGCTTAGGCAAGTGTACAGGGACCAAGGTTCGATCCCAGCACCACATGCTGAGCCAGCCCTGCCCTCAGGGTGGGCTGAGCCAGCCACACACAAAAAAGGGCCTTGCTGTGTAGCCCAGGCTGGCCTTGAACTCACAGCAGTCCTCCTCCCTCAGCCTCCTGGGTGCTGAGATTATAGACATGGACCACCACACTCGGCCAATTTCTCTTTTCTCTGTGACTTTTGGATTTCAGACAATTAAGAAAATTTTCCTGCCAGGTGTGTTGTCACACTCCTGTAATCGCAGCACTTGGGAGGCTGAGGCAGGAGGATCACAGCAAATTTGAATGAGAGAACCTGTCCCCCCCCCCAAAAAAAAAAACCCAAAACCAAAAAACTACACATCCAGCAAAACAAGTACCTGACCAGGAATAATTATGCAATAAATATTTGTTGAAAGAAACTTTCCCAAGGGAGTTGGGGAGATGGCTCAGTGGAATAAGCGCTTCCGCAGCAAGCACAAGGGCCTGAGTTCAATCTCCGGTTCTGCAAAAAAAAAAAAAAAAAAAAAAAGAAGAAGAAAGAAACTTTCCCAAGCTCAGAGTTACAATTGAGTCCACTCATGTGTTCTAGTATACCCTGAACATTCTTTATTCTTTATTCATTTATTCTTTACCTTTGGAGTTTATCTTTGCGCTGGTTCTGAGGTTCAAACCTGTCCTGACCACTCTT